CAATGCAACTGAATGGCGAAGATTACCTATTATTCAACAGTAACGTTTTATTTTAATGGCAATAGTGGCGAAGGCTTATGTTATAACGAAATTCTTTTAAATACTGAAGTATCTAATAACGAAGCAACATGAAGTCAATTTGAAGACATCTCGTTGGCTGTTAAATTATTCATAATCAAAAACTTGTCAAGGTGTTCGAAGGAAAATTAGTGAGAAAAATGTGTCTCGCAGCGTCTTACGTGGGGCTACATTTCGTCTACTGCGAGATTAGGCTGTATGTAAGTTAAACGTCATTCTAATGATTATCAAGCAACTAAATTCTGTGCACATACGAGCCATATTGATTTATTGTTATACGAGTATACACCCGAATTGTTATTTCTCAACCCTCTCTCATCAGGTATATTAATTTGCATAGGTACTTACATAATCTAGTGGAAGACATTGCTATTATATTGGTTTTACAGAACCACAACTAATATTCATGGGTCAATAAAGCAGCTAAAAAACACCTCTCAACAATTAAATGTCTCTGGTTATCACTTTATCGGCTCCGCAACTCCGCGCTGCAAGATGCACTTGAAAGTTAACGTCGATCGGCAAAAGACGACCTAATTTAAACGTATCCGTTTGCCTTCAAGATATCCACTGAGAAAATGAAGAGTTTGCTCGTCTAATTGCGTCTGCTGAAAACGGAGTGAGCCTTAATTATTGGCGAGCGAGCTAACTTAAAGTCTGTCAAAATGTGGGTTTCATTGGCCTATTATTTATAATCTGATTCTAACGCCACAACCGGCCAAATTATTTCCAACAATACTTCGATTTAGAATGTTTCTATTTAAATGTTTGTAATTTTGTTCGCAGTGTTGCATATATACTTTAATTTGTTAAAAAGCTAAGCTTCGACCCTGTATTAAGTGGGGAATAGCGGAATGACCGCTAAATGCAGGTTGACCGCTTAATACAGCTTCCACAGGGAAGAGTATTATAAAAAACGATAAAAAAACGCCACCTTATGCCATAATTGATAATTCAATGTACAAAAACGTTTATTTCGGGAGAGAAAAATGGATTAAAAGTTACTTGAATGATTTTTCTTTGTTTTATCAGAGTAATATCGCATTAAGTGACCGTTTCATACAGCTGTAAGATAATACAATTGGGACTTAGTAAAAGGTGGCCACGACCGCTAAATAGGTGAAAATTACAATGATTACGAGGAAACAGATTCGGAGATTTTGACAGCCAGCCGCTTATTACAGGTTCAACAGTAGTAATAAAACTCTCCCAGGAATCCCTTAGAACATTAGTGGATTCTGGAGATTGTTAAGGAGAAGTGACGTATTTCTAGGCAAAGGATGAAGTTTAAAACTGGAAATTGAGAACAGATATGCTTTGATAGCAACATGTTAAATCAAGAGGAGTTTTGGTAAGTCAAGTCAGAGTTGCAAAGGAGTTCTTCAGCAAATAATTCGTGAGTTTGGAGGGCGTGAAAGTCCACTGTAAAGGCGAGAAAACTTGTAAAAGAAAGACAAATCCTCCTTTTTAAAGATTTTGATGGGCCTTCATCCG